GGTCTCTCACAAGTTCAATAATATATTTCTTGTTGTCATCCATTTTGGTAGCACACGACACAAAAAAACGAGCAATGCAGCAAAGCAAGGCACGCAATGTTTCGTCGTGGCTGTGTCGTGCCGTCAATGGAGTGTGCAACTCTAAATGGTTGTGTTTAATTTTATTTCGCACGTGTGCCATGTGCTGTGTGTTGTGTGCCGCGTGCCGTGTGCCGTCTATGGAGGGTCTGCCTTACAAGAATGGCTGACGTGTCAGAAGAATTAAAACTGGCTTAACGATGAATAAATTCAATAGCTAATCTTTGTTTTTCCGTCACCACCTCTAAGTTTGTTAACCTTCATTGGTCTATTATTCGAGAACATTTCTGACAAATCAGAAAATCATTGACAATTTGTCTAATGGTGACCCAAAATGAAGGCACGTTTTATGGAAAGAGAGATAGATAGATAGAGAGAGAGAGAGAGAGAGAGAGAGAGAGGGAGAGAGAGAGAGAGAGAGGGGGGGGGGGCAGAAAAAAAGGTAACATTTTTTTTTCTTTTTCTGTTTTAGACTTCAAGTCTAAGTGCCTAGTTTTAAAGCTATAACACTTCCGCAAATAAATCCATTCGGTCTTGTTTTAATTTAGAACAGTCGATTATGGTTACCATGATGGTAGTCCTCCCTTTACTCGGTGATAGCAACATTCCCACTGTCTATCTGTGTCTTTGTCTTCTTCTAGCATGTTGTAAGCTGGAAGTACTTTCAAGTTGTTTTCTCTCTGTCTTGGACACCCACCCCTTTTTTATCTGTTGCCTGAAGATGTCGTTCATGTATTGTCTTAATCCAGTCGTGTCGCGCCTATTTTCTGTTCGATATACGTTTCCCCTCATAGTAATTTTACATTGAAATCTCATCATACACGTTTTGTTCGAGTTCTCTACCGGCTCGTTTTGTCTCGCCGAACAAAAAACAACAACCCCTATCCCCACGACAATTGACTGCCATCTCGTCACTGGAACTGAATTAATAAAAGGAAAACCATTTGAACATGTAAGGATGAAAGCTACCTATCAGATGGAGTATGGTTTGGCGGTTGTGTGGTGAGAGCAAAATAATAAAACAAACCAAACAACGCGAGCAGCAACAACAACAACAACAACAACAGGCAATACAAAATAGCATTTGAAAAGTACTATTCATAACAATGGGTTTACATACTCCTAATACCAACAATCGTCAAGAACCGTTACGCAAAATAACAAACAATCTATCGATGAACTAACCAACGAGTTGGCCAGCAAGTAACCCCCCCCCCTTACCTCCACCCACCCATCCACCCTTATTGACCAAGAGTGTAACAAACCAGCTAAAAATAAATTGCCGAATAATCAAAGAATCAATTATCCAGCTACTCGACCTATCAGTACACTGACCTATCAACAATTGATCAGGCTTAAACCTCTTTTAGAACTCTGTTTCACGAGTTCATCCCTAACGTCACTGGTATGCAGGATGCATTTTCATTCTGCCATTGTGTGGATTGCATTGCCCGGCTTGGGTATCAAATTTTCACAAGAGGCGGATAAAAGTACAAATATATACAAATGGTGCAAACAAAATCGAAACATATTTTATGTTTGTTTTGTTAAGCCTACATACTCATTGGTGGTGGACAATCCTCCAGGAGAAGCTGAAGAAATTGCAGAGGAGTCAACAAGCAGAAAACAGTAACATTCATAGTACGGACAAGGTCAAGGCTCGTGAAAAGAAATTATTTTTAAAAAAACAACTCAGCTACTTTAGGGAAAGCATGTTGGTAAGTTTTGAGGTTTACCGAAGCAAAACCAGAAGAGCCCGAGTAAACAATTAACACGTAAATGCAGACAGAGATAGGAACAAATGATGGTTGAATGAGAGTGAGAAGGAGTAAGAGTGGATAGACTTGCAGATAACATGGCAGAAAATATTGTACATTGATGAAGACAGTGATAACTAATACAACACACGCTTCTGACTCATTGTTCTCACTATGTTTCATTTTGAACCATTAGTCCGTGTGGTGTATCATTACATTTCCCTTGTACAAACCCGTTAGTGAGCTGTATGTATGGCCTCAACCCCATAGGTTGAATCCATTTTCTACAGGGCGTCACTTCTGGAGTTTGAGGGCTTGGGTATCTCAAAATAGGAACTTAGGTTATAATGTTCTACTAAAGGCAGCAGAAATTTGCTGTGCAAATTATTATATCCCGCCATCATATATCAATATGCCAAGTTGCACGAATTCAATAATAAAAAAATATCTAAAAAATTGATCAAGATCAAGCAGTTGGGGCATCTGTCCGTGTGATAATCGAAAGCTTTCCGCGAAAGAGCCCTGAAAGCAAGATTGGTTAGCAGCCTAGTCCAAAATGAAGATATGTTTTAAGTCGTAAATGTTGTGTGTGCTTTATTTTTTTGCTCTTCATATTATGGCAGATGCTTTTACTAATTCACGTGTTTCCTAATGCTTAAAAACCCAAAGTCCTGTTGTCTCGGTAAACAAAAAGATATACAACTATTATAGTCTGTGTCCGAACTCATGGACAACCCATGCATGAGTTAGACCAATCGCTCCATTGCCCCTACTTTCTTCAGTTTAAGTTTGTTTCACGTAAATAAACTACTATTGAATTCATGGCTAAATAGAGAAAGGGAACAATAGGGGTTTCAACGTACTTCGTACACCTGAAACAAGGCATTCAGAGTTGAAAAGAAGAAATTTTCGAAAACAGATGCTTCGAGAACTGCTGAACAAAGTACATTGTATCTTCCAAAGAGTGGCAGAAGTTTACTATGCTGGCTGCCCCATTGTAATGTCATCTCCGCCGTTCCTGCTCATTACCAATTGGAATTGTCGTTTGCCTTCAACAGAAAGAAAAGGAAAATACCAAAGTTGTAACAAAAAAGTAATAAATAAACAAAGGAACGAAAATGTCAAATTGGATTATTGGCATTACGAATTTTAACAAGTAGTTCTACATAATTATTTGCGTTTTTGTCTCGATTGCTACTCATGTTTCACAAAACTTAGCATTGCTTTACCATGTCGAATAGAGTGCCACTTCATTAACTGCTATCTTTACTGATCATTTACAGCTGTAGTAAAAAGCACGTTAGACTATGGACGCTTGACTTGGATACATCAGGGACATTGTTATTCTCCTAGACTGAGACGAGCACTGAACGCCAACATGGTGTTTTGAAGGAGTTTTGTCTTTCGGTGGAAGAAGACCTTGTGCAGTCCTACTAATTTCTAACTAATGTCAGATCGGGAGAATGATCACTCGTTGACTCACATGCTTGGTCACCCTATCAAGAGTATCTGCTGGACTAGCGATGCGTGTTAGATTTGCCTTCCCACCGCCCCTGTCTCTGATTCGCAAAAAAAAGTGAATTAAAATCGGTTTTAAAAAGACTGTCTTTCGCCTCCTTGAAGTCATTCAAATTTTTAAAACGGCATGGTTTTGTAATAGAAAAAACAACGGGGATTAGAGACTGCAAAGAAAAACAAATGATGCGACGTAAGTTTGAAACGAGGTAGGTTTGTGAGCGTGAAGCTGAGAACGAAATGAGAGAATTCGTATTATCTAATATCTAATATCTACTTCTGAGATGTGAAGATTGTGCAATGGTGGCCTTTTGGTATTCGCACGCCATTGCATGTGTGTATGTTTGTGTGTGAGATGAGATTGTGTGTGATTGTGCGCGTGTGTGTATGTGTGTGTGTGTGTGTGTGTGTGTGT